TTTGTCTCTGAATGTGTCTATGCATGCCTAAAGACATATAGACAACATTTATATACAAAATAATGTTATGGGCTTAATTGTCAATTTGATCCTTAGCTTATTTAAGTTTTAAATTTGGTATTGTAGTATGATTAATGGGGGTCTTGAATTGAATATTGATTCAATGACTGTATTTCTCTGCTACAATTTCGGTTTAGAACTAAAATGAGTATTAAAATCTGATCAGACTTATCTAATACTCATCATAAATGATTACTCGGCCAAGTGGGAGAATGTTAGACACGATTTTATTATGTGGCCTGAGTTATCATTTATCTAATTAATTGATCATTGACCTAATAAATACCCTACGTACTTAATTGGTAATTATTCGATGGACGTAATTACCCTTATGACCTAATTAGGGTTTCCCCTTGGGTGTATATATATAAAGGTCATTAGGCAGAGATTAACACACCAATCTTACGCCTCCTCTCTGCCTCTCTATTCTCGTGAGTCTTCCTCACCTTAGCCATCATAACGATACACCCTAAACGAGAACTCGATCTGCGTGAGAATCATGGCTTCATCCCTAACTACGTTTACAGGATTATCAGGTACACATGATTAAATCCCTAATTTATATTTTATGTTTAAGAATTGATCAACAATTTGTCTTTGTGGAAAAAGATGAAGAGATTTGATATTGCTGGAGAGATTTGATTTTGTTTACTCCAAAAGAAGTAGAGATTTTGGATTTTGATTTGAAGGAGAGACACATAGGAGACGGAAGGTGATATTATAAGTTATAACTGGTCTGAGAGTCTGAGACAAAGAAGAATGGAGGACCTAAATTGGAAAGTCAATATATTTTTCAGTTTACCTTAAAACCCGTTCCAAGTCAAAAATGGATGTTTCAACTTGGACGGAGGAAGAATATCACAATGCGTCGTGTTAGGGGTGTTCATCGGGTTAAACCCGGACCAGACCGGCTCGGACCGGGACTGGATCGGGACCGAATAAGAGGCATTTTGTAGACCGAATACCGGATCGATTAAGGTAAGGACCGGCCCTGGACCGGACCGGTAAAACCCGGACCGGACCAGGACTGGATCGAATAAATGTAACTTTTTTTTAAATTTGATTTGATTTATTTTATTTAAAGTATCCAATTGTATAAAAATATTGCTACAATTAATTTTTAATGTGTAACATACACTAAACTTGTCAAACACTCTTTTTTTCAATTTTTTTAAGAACTTTTTATAAAATTATATATCCTCCATCCATATTACATAAAATTTGTTCGTAAATTTTATTTTACATATGGAATATTCTTCTTCTTACAACATTTTTTTCTTTTTTGTAAATTGTTTTGGTGTTTTTGGTTTATTTTGGCAAACGGATACATTTTTTAATATTTTTGTTCATGAGATTAATTATTTCTTACAATGTTTATTTTTGGTAATTAGAGTTTCATTATTGATAAGTACAAAATTAGATTATAGTATTGGTGCATACATTTGAAATACATTAGATTGCTAATATAAAGGTGATGTTTACTTTTTCACACTTTTCATATTAAAAATATTTAAATATCATTAGAATTGGTATCTTATTTTGAATTGGAATATATTAAAAAATTATATTAAATAATAAAATCAAAACATTTGAAAAACTTTTAGTATTAAAGTTAAATTAATTTTAAGTATAAGAAAAAAACTTTAGAAAACTATATTATAAAACTATATAGAAAAAAAATAAGGAACCCGCATAAGGAAAAAATGAGGACCGGTCCGGACCAAATAACAAAATAAGGAACCCGAAACCCGGTGGACCAGACCGGACTGGAACCCGAATAAGGAAAAAATGAGGACCAAAGACCGGACCAAATAAGGACCGGTCCGGTCCGGTTTTGGCCGGGTTTCGGGTCGGTCCGGGTCCGGACTGAATAATGCACACCCCTCCGTCGTGTGATCCATGTGGTCGGTTCCACCTAGTCAGATTTAAGGCTCAATTGTTTGATTGTTAGTCATAAAGTTCATCGTCTCAGGATATTTTTCGTACATGTGGAAAACAGCTATGATGATGAAAGTTTTAACACTTTCATCTCATTATTCCTTATGAATTTGCAGCAGCAAGGCATCTCATCCCAAGCATTGCCAATATATATGTTATTTGCATAGATGTATAGTGTTAATTAATTTTACACAATTGATTGGTACTAAAAAATAATGTCACCAACCCAACTAGTTGGGATAAGTAAGATGCTAGTAATGATAATGATTAAGTTAGTGACAAAAGTAATTAGTACTCCGTAATAGTTTGCGGTTTGTAACAAATTGCTTAGTAAAACCAAGGAATAATTGCAAACTGTATAAAGTGCTTAGTAAAACTAAGGTACAATATCTACTAATCCTTTATCCTTCCAAAGCCTTCCTCAACCCCTTCATCCTAACCGACCCTATTTGTTGATGGTTTTGCTTGTTTGTCGTGCAGGAGAACTCATACCGGCATGGTTCAGTAAAGGCTCTCTCCCTCCTCCACCCCCTTCACTTCCTCTCATTCTTGTTGGGCCTGGGACAGGGTGCGCACCTTTCTGTGGATTCATCGAGGAAAGAGCTCTCCAACGCCAATCCGGCAACAACCCTGCTCCAGTTATCTTCTTCTTTGGTTGCAGAAATGAGGAAAACGATTTCTTGTACAGAGATTTTTGGCAATCTCATTCGGAGAGTGGCAAAGTTCTCTGTGAAGAGCAAGGAGGAGGCTTCTTTGTTGCCTTCTCCAGAGACCAACCCCAGAAGGTCTATGTGCAGCACAAAATGAGAGAGCAGAGCGTAAAGGTGTGGAATCTGTTGGCTGAAGGGGCCGCTGTCTATTGCGCCGGCTCTGCAAGTAAAATGCCTTCCGATGTTCTTTCTGCTCTGGAGGAAATCGTGTCAGAAGTTACCGGGAGACCTCTATGAGGTGGCTTCGGCATTTGGAGAGGGAGGGTAAATACCATGTTGAAGCCTGGTCTTAAGCTCTCCTCTCATGTCCTCTTTTTTTGACATATACTACCTCCGTTTCTCAAAAGAGTTCCTCTTTTGACTTTGGGAGAAAATAAGGAAGTGTTAAATTGTAGTTGACTTTCTAATTTTGCCCTTGATGTAATGGGTAAAAGTAAGATGTGATAGTTTAGTTGTTAGTGAAAAAGTATGATGTGATAGGTAGGGTATGAAAAAAGTAGGGGTAAAAGTGGTTTTTTAATAGAAAGGAGAAGTGTTTTAAAAAAAACAAAAAAAAAATGAAAGAGGAAAGATTTTAAGAAACGGAGGAAGTATTTCCCAGCGTATTACTCCGTATTAGTTTTAGTCCTGTTGTTACTCCACTCTAATTTTGGTTTGGAAAGGTTGTGGGTATTATTATTGTTAGTTATTCTATATCCTACGTACGGGGGGAGTTTGGTTTATTGTTTCTTGGCCTTATCCTTGTGACAAAAACAAATACTCCCTCCGTCCCGAAATAGATTACAATATTCTTTCACATTTTTGTCCCAAAAAGAATTACAAACTCAATAACTTTACAAGGAATTGACTCTTTTACCCTCCCACTCCTACACTATTCACATACTATTCATCCATGTGAGTGGACCACTTGGGAGTAATTTGGGGAAAAAAAATTTGATTCGACTCTTCCTTAATTTCAACAAAAAGAGAATATTGTAATCTAAAGTGGGACGGAGGGAGTAGTAGGAATGGGTCTCGTGTGTGTTGTCTACTTGGATTGGGTTGTAGAGTCCTGCCATGTCATGGAGTCAAGGAAGTTAAGCGTGTACTTGTCATGGAATCCAGGCAGAGTTAGGTGTCCACCTCTACGTGGTTGGTGTGTTAAAGAACGTGAGAAAATTGAGAGATACTAAAGAACTCAAGTGAGATACAGAGCTTAATTCATCACGGTATAACTCAGGGGTTGTTAACTTTCAAGCACATATTCCCCCACCCTCTAACCATTTAAGAGGCAAGTGAGCCTGAAAACCTAGAGCACATGCCACATTGAATGTATAATGGTGTCTACATTTTATTCATTTGGTCTGTGTGGATTTCCTACATAAGACGTCTCAAATATTATTCCTTGAACAAAATGACATTTCGTGCAAGTAAATTTTGCCTTGTAACTCAATTCAACCGTGCCTAATTAAATTTTCAAGCCCAACTTCATCTTTATCACTTATGACTTCTCCCATCCTATAATAATTTACACTTTTTACTATTCTCTATTTAAAAATTATGAGAATTTTTGTTTATTTTTATATTTTCATTGATTATACGATGAAATAAAATATTTTTTTCATTTTTTTGTTTTGTAGAATTTTAATGTATTTTAAAAATATGTAATTTTTTTCGTATACATACTAAATTTTAACTAAAATGAATTGAAAAAATTTAAAATTTTATTTCCCTATAAGTAAAATAATTGATTTAGAGAGGGATGTAGTATGGGATAGATTTGAATAGGGGTGGGCAAATAGGTCAAGGAACCGCGAGTCGGAACGACGGAACCGAACCACCAGGTTCGGTCCGGGTTAGGGGCAGATTCTTTTTTCAAAAATTTATAACGGTCTGGGTCGGTCCGGTCCTTATAGATTTTATGGTCGGTCCGGTTCCCCATTTTGAAATTGTAACGGTCTGGGTCAGACCGGATCGTTTTTTGATACTCCAATATTTTTTTAGTAAATACACCGGCCTTAGCCTTACTATTGAGTTACACCCTTCAATCTTTTGCAATAGTCAGAGTGTCGGAAGTCACCAAACAGTTTGTTGTTGTTTGATGATCATGGGGTGTACACTTTACTTTCATGCCCATCTTTGTCATTGTTTTGTCTTCATTTAGACCTCTTTTTTTGTGTTGGATGACTTAGAATTGACAATGGGGATACTACATTGTTGTGGACTTATGGTGAATGACCATGTATGTATTATTAATTTATTATCACTTTATTTTTTAAATATTAGTATCATGATAGGTTCGGACCCGTGAAATCGGCCCGTTTCAAACAAGCCGGGTTAGGTCCGGTTTCAATTTTAAAATTTGAAAACCTGTTCCGGTCCGGACCGTTTTAATACAAACAAGCTGAATCCGGTTTATACAAATTTTGGCTCAGACCGGCCCATGCCCACCCCTAGATTTGAATAGCGCATGAAATATAAAACCGTAATAAGTATGGAGTAAGAAAATATGACATGCTAAAATACTCTTATCTATGCCACAATCTTCTAAGCCTATTCTTCTCAAAGACAATGGAAGACGTAGGCATCACTTTCACTCTACTCAGGTGTAGGTCCTGTTGTTGTAATAAGGATAAGTTCATGGGATATGGAAGTGAATTTATTTGAATCCACATTGCAAACTCAGATGCGAATTCTTCGGACTTCCTTAATCAGATACTTGGGTACATTGCTACCAGATATTTCAAATATCCATCAATTTACCCAACATTTTAATTGTCAATTTGAAATAGGAAAAAAAACATTCTGCAAAAGGATATGATATGAATTGGAGTGGAACTGGAAGGCTGATATATAAAAAAAGACTGTATTTTACTTGTGTCTTGTGAACATGTCAACAGGAAGAAGGATTGAAGGAAGCAAGAACCAGTATCAGAGATAGGAAACAGATAGAATTCAATTTGACATTATTGCAATGCTATACTGCATTTGTCTGAACAAACTTCAAAATAAGGCACAAAATATTTCAATTACAGTGTTGATTGGCCCAGCTGAGACAGGAAAAAATTTTAAAATAAATAAATAAAAGATATCGATTTTGAAAGGAATAGCTAACCCCAACCTTTGATTGATGGCATAATAGCTCGGATGCCTCCTGTGGTTTGGAAAATTGGCACCAATACCCTCTCTGTTTTCAAAACTTATTTCTAAAGTCCATGTGGTTTCAAAACGTTGCACCCACACCCCCTCTGATCATTTTCCGGTCATTTTCCGGCGAATAGGGGGCATTGGCGCATAATTTCTAAACCATAGGGGACACTCGTGCTCATTTCTTATTTTTCGTTCGTTTATTATTTGTGTTTTTCCTTCTTTTTCCTTTTTCTAGATTTTTTTTAAATTTCTTTTCAATATTTTATAATGTTTTAAAATTTTTTAAAATTCTTTGTGTTTGAACTAATAAAAAAAATTAACATACATTACATCTATCTCAAATTAAACATTTTCTTACATAGAATAATTTTTTGGAAAGTTCAAAAAGAAAACCCAAAATAAAAATATGGAAAAACGAAATAAAAAAATTAAAAAACAGAAAAAAGAGTCTTCTACAAAATACAATTTTGGAACACGCCTAAAAATATCCTCAAAATTGAGATGTCCAAAAAGGAAAATCATTTTTATTTTTGTATTATTTTTTTTCTGATTTTATTCATCATTTTTTAGAAGTTCTAAAAAACTTACCTTTTTTCGGAAAAAATAAAAATTGTTAATTTGAGATGTGCCGATGCATTATATGATAATTTTTTCAAACAAAAATAACTTTAAATTTTAAAAACACTATAAAAGTAATTGTAAAATAACCTTTATTAATAAATGAAACAAATAAAGGAAAAAATGGGAAAAAAAAGAGAGATATAAAAAATTAGCACTGGTACCTCCCAAGGTTTAGAAAATATGCACGAATGCCACCCTTCTTCGCCGGAAAAATGACCGGAAAATGATCAGAGGGGGCACAGGTGCATCGTTTTGAAACCACAAGAACTTTAGAAATAAGTTTTGAAAACAGAGGGGGTATTGCTACCTATTTTGCAAAATACGGGGGGTACTGACGCAATTTGGCCTTTGATTGATAGCAAGAACTAATACTTCATCCGTCCCAAAATATTTACAACATTTGCTTTTTCAGTAGTCGCGAGAATTTTTGTTTATTTCTACGTTTTCATTGGTTATTTGATAAAATAAAATATTCTTGACACCTCTTATTTCGAAGAACTTTTCATATAGTTTTTTGATATGTAAATTTTATTTTTTATTTCCATACCAATATGTAAATAAAATGAATTGAAAAAACATAATATTTTATCCCGGAAATACAAGTGTTGCAAATATTTAGGTACGGGGACTAAAACACAAAAAAGACGCCGCCTTTAGTCTATTTTGATACGGAGTAGATAGCAAGAACTAAAAAAACACAAAAAAAGGACGCCTGGTGCATTAACCGATCCACAAGGGGGTCTATGGTGCGCAACATTTATAATAAAAACACAAAATTGAAGTGATACTAATTAACAAAAGTTAAGGTCAAGCATTGTTATTTGCTGGATTATTTTTAACCAAGTCAGTGTTTGTTCATGATCAACTTTGTGTTGTTTCACAACGGAAAGCAAAAATAAGGTTAAAATTATTAGTTCTAGATGATAATGAAAAGCCTCACAATCATACCAAAAATTTTATATATCCTAAATTCTTTCCAGAAATAAAGATTTAAAAAAAGACTTTTAGGTGTTCACTTTTAAATTTATGTATAAGAATTGTCATTACTAAATATTAAATGTTAAATTATTTATTTTACTTTGATTTTAATGTTAATAGTGTTATTAAAGAATGCATTACATATTGATGGTGTAAATTACTTAACTGGTCAAACTATACTAGACCGGGTCTAGAATAGTTTGCTTGATTTGGCAAAGTAAGAAAGGTAAAAACTCGTAGATTGACCGGTAGGACTTTAAGTGGAACACCTGTAGCCCAATTTATATTATGACGGAGAATGCACGGGTGCTTTTACAAGGGAGTTTAGAGGAAGTGAATTCGGATCCCTGTTTCTGAGGTTTACATGAGTATTTATACTAGGCTAGGGGGGACAGGACCACGTGCGCCCACGTGGGGGCACGATGCAGATGTGGTGCGAGGTGACTGGTTTCGTCCTTGAGCTGCCTTGTCGCCTTGTGAGGGGGATTATTCCCTCTGTCGAGTAGTGCCTTGGATGGATTCTTCAGCATCTCCAGTTGTCCTCTACTGACACGGGTCGCTACACGCCAAGCCCTCGTAGATTCTCTTCTGCCGACACTTTCCAACCCTAGAAACTACACCGGGTAATAAATAGGACGACAACGTAGTTTGACCGGTATACTTTTTAATGAAGTATACCGGTCATCTTTTGGCCGATGATATATCGTTTTGCTGACGATTTAAGTCTACCTTCCAAAACTTTCGAGATTGATCGGTCAACTAATTGGTCTTCTTTGACCGGTCGTGGGTGGAATACACCCATCAATAAGCTCTCCACTTCTCGGTCATGCAATTTGTCATGAGCGGGAAGTAAAAAGTCTGAAATAGGACTCCAATTTTGAAATTTTGGCTTTTCCCGCCTAAAATTTTTGATATTTGAATTTCAAACTCTGATTTTCGCCACGTGTCGCGCATCAACTGTTGCAATCAGTCAGCTGCAGACCCGTCGTTTCGCCTGCCACTGGGTCATCATTGCGCCGCCTGACGCGGCGCAACCTGGAGAGGCCATGTCGCTCCTTGCAGCCCTCCTCTTCCTATATAAAGGCCCCCAACCCCCTTCTCTTCTCACTTTTCGCACTTCGCCTTCCAGAACTTTCACCGGTCAAGTTCCTTCTCTTTCGCTATCCAGCCCTCCGAGTCAAGTAAGTTCCCCCTTCCTTCTCTTTTTTCTTTCCCGGCCATGTCTTCGTTTAGCGATAGGATCTCGTCCTCAGAGGATTGCTCCTCTGAGGACTCCAACTCATCTTCCTCGACCGGGTCTTCTTCCCTTGACTCCACGCCCGGTCAGGTTCCCAACTCCTCTATTCCCGACCCGCATCCTGTTAACCAGGTGCCCGGTGAAACTTTCGTGGGGAGGGATGACCCGGTCGATGAAGAACCGGGTCCCTATGACCCTGAACACGAAACCCGGGATGCGTGGGAGGAGCGGCTTCATGCTGCCGGTTACTTTCCGCTTCCCACTTTCTACGTCCTTGACATCCCTTCCCGTGTATCCAAAATTGCTCTGAATAAAATTCGTAGGAGGCTCCCGGATGGGTATACCCTCCTGTATGAACCCAACTGGCCCAACATTGTCGAACCCCACCGGGAGGATATGATAGGGTTCCATACCATATCACTGGATGCGGGCATAGTTTTTCCCCTTCGTCCCCTCCTTACCGAAGTCTGCCATGCGTTTAGGATTTTGCCCGGCCAAATAACTCCCAACGCCCACCGGTATCTCCATTCCTTTGTAAATATTTATACCCATCTGAAAATCTTCCCCTCTTTGCGTCTTTTCCTTTTTTGCTTCGAAGTCCTACCGAGCGGGACTGGCTGCGAAGGTTTTGTATTCTTCAAAGCCCGCACCGGTAGGAAGTTCATTTCCGAAGTCCCCCAGAGTAACCGGGGATGGAAGGAAAAATTTGTTTTCATCGAGTTTCCCCCCTTTGTCACTCCTTTGGCCGGTCTGAACTGGAACGACCATCTGCTCGACGACGAGTACACTACACCGGCCTCCTCCCCTGACTTAGAAGCGAACCTTGGGGTCCTCATGCGCGGGGATCCTCAAACCGGGAGGATCTTCCATCAAGGTAGCTGGGTTTGGAGGGTAGAGTCGGGTGGTGAGGGTACCTCCCAGGCCCAGGAAGCAGCGGGGCACGGGGTACCCTCCCCGGGCAACACTGCAGAGGCTGAGGGCCAGAACCACCCAGGTATTTCTCATTTTTCTTGTGATTCGTAGTTGACCGGTGTCCCTCTTTGTACTTAACGATTTTAGCTTTTCTTGCAGACATGGAGTTCGAGGAGTTCGCCATCCCTGACGACCAACCAGCCGGGGAGACCGGGGGCTCCCAAGCTAATCCTGCCAGGACCTTCCCGGTCAATCCAGAGACCGTGGAAATCCTCGATGAAGATGAGCCCCAAGACAACCGGTCTAAGGGGAAGGAAAAGGAAAAGGCCGGTCGACGGGTGAAGAAGGTGGCCACCACGCACCCTTCCTATGCCAAGAATAGGGCAAGGTCGGATCCTGAGCCGGCCGTCCAGACCATTGAAGAGGCCCTCATTAATCTGGGGCTGAGGCTGAAGGAGGTAAGTCCTGCCGCTATCCCGGTCTTGATCTTCTTTTTCCCTTGACGAGAATCTTACCGGGCTATTTTTCCTTTTGCGCAGGCGGGGGAGATCGGACGCCTCTCAGCTGACCGGCTTGGTTTGGGCTCTTCTTCGGAGCTTGCCCGGCTGAAGAAGGAGAAAGAGGAGATGGCTCTCATCCTAAAGAGCCAAGCTGATGAGCTGACCAGGCTATCCGGGCTGACCGGGTCGATGAGGGCGGAGATCTCTCACCTTCAGGAAGAGAATGGCTGGCTGATGGACGAGGTGTTTGAAGCCAAGAGGGAGATGGCGAAGAAGGAAGAAACCTTCCCCGGGCGTGCAGCTGCCTGGGTGGAAGAGAACAAAGCTGAAGCTACCCGGGTGTTGATGGCGACTCCTGAGACCACGATGGAGTCCTTCAGGCTTCTATACCGGGAGCCTGAAGGAAGGAAGATGATTACCACGATTGGATCCTTTGGATTCAAGAGCGGTCAAAAGAAGGATCAGATCGCCTCTCACCGGGTACTGCTTAGAAGAGATCCGGACTTCACCACTGCATCCTACGGTCTGGCCTCAATCCCGGAAGAAGAGCCGACTCCCCCCTTCCCCCTTGACTGATCTCCCCGGCTGCGCCCGGTTATTCTTTGTAAAACTTTTAGCAGAGATTTCCCCGGGTATGCCCGGCGTACTTGTAAACATTTGACATTTTTAAATTTAAATGCCATGTTTGTTTTCCATACCGGTTAATCTTCCATATCTGCTTGCTTGTTGATTTATACTTTGCTCTTGCTTCTTAATTGTTTTCGACCGGTGGAACTTCAAAGTTCTCTTTGATCACCTCATCTGAAGGATTAGCCCGAGTAACTTTGACCGGTTAAACTTCAATTTTTGCTTTTCGAACGTCTTCCTCGTTTTGGCCAACTTAAAAAGTTTGACCGGCCGAACTTTACTTTGACCTTTTGGATAGCTTCACAAATCCTTTGATAAAGTATAGTTTGACCAGTAGCTTCCACTCCCTGGTCTGACCGGTCATCTGCCTTGCCTTGTGGAACTTTCAAAGTTCTGTTGTGCCCATACCCGACCGGGGTATTCTTTTTTGGTAGCTTCCACTCCCTGGTCTGACCGGTCATCTGCCTTGCCTTGTGGAACTTTCGAAGTTCTGTTGTGCCCATACCCGACCGGGGTATTCTTTTTTGGTAGCTTCCACTCCCTGGTTTGACCGGTCATCTGCCTTGCCTTGTGGAACTTTCGAAGTTCTGTTGTGCCCATACTCGACCGGGGTATTCTTTTTTTTTTGACCGGTAGGTTGTAGATGGAAACACCTGTAACCTAGTAATTCTTGAAGTATCCTTAACCGGTAAGAATACTGGAGATTTAACCATGTCGAATGGTTTCGAACCCTCTCCAAGGTTCAAATGCACCCTTCTTCCAGGGCCCCCTCTTCCGGGTGATTAAATCTTTTAATGGCCCTTTGATTTCTACCATCCTGGGAAGGCCTTAGCTCACCCCCTGTTCAAGTCTTCCCTGAGAAGGGGGAAACAGGATGCGCCACGGTGGACGATCCCCTTCTGTTTCTTTTAATGGGCATCTTTTAGTCCCCAATCAATTTGACGGCGCCGGCTGATTCCCCGACACCAGTCAAACCTCATGGGCCCGTGTAAGTACGGTTCGAACCCTCTTCCAGGTCCAGCCCTCTTGCAGGCATACCCTCTTCCGGGCCCCTCTTCTGGGTTTTAATATTTTTTCTATTATACTGAGCAAGACCGGTGTAGTAACCAGCGTGCCAGGTCCGGGCCTGTGTCTCAGTTGGCTTACCCAAGTGGATTCGATCCACCCAGTAAGCCCTCCTAGGATAGGTTCGACCTATCAATTCCGCCGCTACCAAGTAGAGTATTGAACATTACTTTGATTGATAATGTAGTTGGGCCTCGCCTAGTATTACAATCATTTGTAGAACTTGCGAAGATGGTGGGAATTCCCAGTTCTTTCTATCGGTACACCATCTAAAGTTTCCAACCGGAATGTTCCTGGTCGAATGATGGCTCTAACCCTGTATGGGCCTTCCCAGTTTTTTGCTAGCTTTCCTCCGTCACCGGGTCTACTTGCTTCCCTTCTTCGTAGGACTTCATTTCCAACTTGGAAGTACCGTGGCCCAACCTTGTTATCATGGTACTTTTTCACAAGTTGTTGGTACGTACTCATTTTAACTTCCGCGGCCATTCTTCGTTCTTCGACCAAGTTGAGCTCGGCCAAGTGGTCTTCTTCATTTTGTTGGGGTTGATAATTTGATTCTCGGAATGTTGGGATTTCAGCTTCGATGGGCAGCCTTGTTTCACACCCATAGGTTAGGGAGAATGGAGTTTCCCCGTGAGCCCTCCTGGGTGTTACTCGGAATGCCCATACGATGTGTGGGAGCTCTTCCAGCCACTTGTTTCCTGCCTCTCCCAGCCGTTTCTTCAAACCGTCTACAATAGTTCTGTTGGCGTTTTCGACTTGGCCATTTCCCTGGGGGTACACTACAGAGGAGCGATTGTGCTTGATTCCGAAGCCCTCCAAGTATTCGGTGAATCTTGGATTTTGGAATTGTGGGCCGTTGTCGGTGATGAGGTTCATGGGCGCCCCAAACCATGTGATGATGTTCTTCCAAATGAATTTTTTGCACTGTTGCGTGGTAATGTTGGCCAATGCCTCGGCCTCGATCCATTTGGTGAAGTAATCGATGGCTACGATTACGAACTTCTTCCCTCCCTGGGCGACTAGGAAGGCTCCGATGATATCAACCCCGAATCTAGCGAATGGGATGACATTCGACACGGGGTGATAGTAGGTTGCCGGTCTACCGGGATACTTGTAGAACACTTGGCATGTTCTGCATTTCTGGACATACCTTTCACAATCCTGGACAATTGTTGGCCAGTAATACCCCAACAAGATGATGCGTTGGGAAAGCGTACGGGACATTTGATGCGCCGCGCATACGCCTTCGTGGACTTCCGCTATGACTCCTTCAGCCTCCCGGTTGGTTAGACATCTCAGGAGTGGCCCCCCAAACGCCCTTTTATACAGCTTTCCATCGAGAACCTAGAATCGGGGGGCCCTGAGCTTCACTTTTCTTGCCCGGTCATCTTGTTCTGGCAAGCTCCCATCCGTCAAATATTCCATCAGATCATACATCCAATGGTCGTCCGCCCCGACCAAGTTTGACCGGTCACATTGGCTTCCGGCCGTTATAGCGGCGACTTCCAATTTTTCGATGCTTGCACGGTCAAGGATCTCTACCCGGGCAAGTTTTGAAACATGCTCGGGAGCATACTGTGTCAATTTGGAGAGAAGGTCTGCATCCACGTTTTCCGCCCGGGGAATTTGGGCGATCTTGAACTCTTCGAAGCCTTTCAACAGGGCAAGTACAAGGTCCTTGTATTGTGCCATGCGTTCTCCCCTTGCCTCCATGTTACCGGTCACTTGCCCAACAATCAGGCTAGAGTCAAATTTGATACTGACCCGGCTGATTTTCAAGGCTTGGGCAAGTCTGAGCCCTCGAGCCAGAGCTTCATATTCTGCCTCATTGTTCGTCAGCTTGAAGTTGAAGATGATTGCATGGTAGATCTTGAACCCTTCTGGGGTGGTGAACACGATACCACCCCCGTATCCTCTAGGACCGGATGCCCCATCAACTGCCATCTCCCACCATTGCTCAGTGGGCCTGTTGACCGGTAGGTCTGGAGTTAGACCGGTCATTTCTACCAGGAAGTCAGCAAGGGCCTGTCCCTTGATTGCTGACCTTGGCCGGTACTCAATATTGAATTGAGTTAACATCATCGCCCACTTCACCATCCTCTCGGAGGATGTTGAATTTCGCAACACTGCACCCAGCAGTTGGTCAGTCAAGACTTCTACCGGGTGAGCTTGGAAGTAGGATGTTAACTTTTTTGCGGAGATGAAAAGCGCATAGGCTGTCTTTTCCATCTCCGTATATCTACTCTCAGCCTCGTTTAGTGCTTTGCTCACATAATAAATGGGCTTTTGTGCCCCATCGTCTCTTATTAAAACGGAGCTTACAGCATTTGGGGAAATTCCCAGGTACAGATACAGAGTTTCACCCGGTTCGGGTTTAGACAATACAATATCCGACGCTAGGTACTCTTTCAGCTCCTCAAATGCCCTCTGGCATTCTTCGTCCCATGCGAATGCGTTTGCCTTATTCAGAACTTTGAAGAAGGGCGGGGATCTCTCAGCTGACCGGGAAAGGAACCAGATGAGGGCCGCTAAACGACCGGTCAACTTTTGAACATCCCTAACGGAGGTAGGGGCTTGCATTTCAGTGATAGCCCGGATTGTTTCTAGGTTGGGCTCTATTCCTCTCTTGGTCACGATGAATCTCAAGAACTTCCCGGTACGAACCGCGAAGACGCATTTCTTAGGATTCAGCCGGAGGTTGTACCTTGCCATGATATCGAACGTGGCTCGCATATCAGCCGGGTGGTTCAGAGATACCTGGCTTTTGATCAGCATGTCGTCGACGTATGCCTCCATGGTCTTTCCCAGTAGTGGCTTGAAGAGTTTGTTCACCATGCGCTAGTAGGTTGCCCCCGAGTTCTTCAAGCCAAACGCCATTACCCGGTAACAGTAGGTTCCTTCAGGTGTGAGGAATGACGTCTTCTCTTCATCTTCCTTGGCCATGTAGAATTGGTGGTAACCCTTGAAGGCATCCATGAAACTTAGGAGTTCGCACCCCGCAGTTTCGTCCACCATTTGATTTGGACTGGGAAGGGGATATGAGTCCATCGGACAGGTTTTGTTCAAGTCCGTATAATCCACACACATTCTCCACGTGTCGCCCTTGGGAGCAAGGACAACGTTGGCCAGCCAATCCGGGTATTTGACTTCCCGGATGTGACCAACACTGAGGAGGTCCTTCACTTCCTTCTTGAAGAAGTCTCGCCAGTCACTGGCCAGGTACCGCTTCTTCTGGCTTACCGGTCGACTTCCTTCCCTCACGGCCAACCGGTGGTAGATGACAGAGCGATCTATTCCGGGCATATCCGCCACGCTCCATGCGAATATGCCCGCGTATTCTTGGAGGACCCGTGTAATCTCTACCTTGAGATCCTCGGGGAGATTTGCTCCAATTCGGACCATCATCGAAGAATCACCCCAGTGAAGTTCGATTTCCACCGTCTCGGCCTCGGGCTCCAATTTCTCCTGGGTCTCTCCCTTTGTGATTTCTTGGGAGATGACATTGACCCCCTTGGTCATCTTCTTGACTTCCCGGGCATAGCATTCCCGGGCGTTCCTCTGGTCACCCTTCACCTCACCCACACCACCTGGAGTGTGGAACTTCATGCACAGGTGGGGCATGGAAATCACCGCCCCAACCTTATTGATGCCGGGCCTTCCAAGAATTGCGTTGTTGACGCATTTGATGTCCACAACTATGAACCTCATCTTCTTCCACACGGTCTTTTCACCTGATCCTAGTTCGACCGGTAGAACTATGGATCCTTCGGCTTCAACGGTGTCTCCCGTGAAGCTTGAGAGAGGGGTTTTGAGGGGTTCAAGTTGTGTCCGACAAAACCTGAGTTTTTGGAAAGTCTCCAGGTATAAGATGTTGACACTGCTGCCGGTGTCAACAAGTACCCGGGCGACGTCCACCCCATTAATGTCCATAGTGATGACCAATGGATCATTGTGATCTTCACCGGTAGGAGGGAGATCCCGGTCAGTAAAGACGATCGGCTCCCTCCTAGTATGTTTACGCCTGGGCGGTTCAGCACTTACCTCTCCAACGTAAATGCTCCGAACCCAGTTCTTCCGCTGCGCGGCTGAATCTCTACCCTCAGGTCCACCGAAGATCATGCCGATGTGCTCTTTTTCGGGAGCAGGTTGCCGCTCCCTTGGCCGGTTATTCCTCCGCCGGTCGTTGTCCCGGTCATCTCCCGGGGCAGTTGGCCTAACCCATTGATGACTCTTCTCTTCGGCTTTCTGCAAGTAATCTTTGCCCAGCTCTCCACTGTCTATCATCTGCCGGATTACTCCCTTAACACTCTTACATTCGGAGGTGTTATGGGAATCTGACCTGTGGTACGAACAATAGGTGCCCGACCACTGCCGCCCTACTTGACCGGTAGGGTTTTCTAGAGGAATGACCGGTGCCTTCCGGACTTCTTGGCATTCTTCCGTATTGACCACTCGGATGACCGGGTCATAGTGGTGCCTCGGCCGGCTAGGTCCCGGTGCTTCTTCCTTCTTGACTTGCACTGGCTTGGGCTTGTGACCATGCTCAGCTTCTCTCTTTGCCCGAAGCTGGGTTTCAGCTTCAGCAAACTCCCATGCAGTGTGGTAGGCCTCTTGGTACGTGGCTGGGGGTTTCTGGCAGAACTCTTTGTATAGTTCCCTAGCACGCAAGCCACTCAAGAGGAGGGGCAGGACGGTCTTGTCATCCATCTCTTCCTTCCACCGGGTAAGGAACTGAGTAAGGTTCTCAGACTCCCTCTGCCCGGCTGTACTAAGATAGGTGAATTTCTTCCTCTTAGTGCAATTCTCCTGGAACTTGGCCTTGAATTTTGAGGCCAAATCACTGAACGAATCAATGCTTCTCGGACGAAGCTTATTGAACCATTCAGTGGCTCGGTTCCGCAAGGTCTGGAAGAAAAGAAGGCACTTTTCTTCATCGGTGCAACCGTTCATGGTCGCACTCTGGTTGAAGGAGTCCAGATGGATTTCCGGATCTTCCTTCCTGGTGAATCTGGGGGCGTCGATCTTGACCTTTCGCGGGAAAGGTGTCAGATGGACCCTTGTGGTGAACGGGGACCCTGCAAGGGGTTTGTCCCGGTCATTCTTCTCTCCGACCTTTTTTTCCAGCCTCTCTAGTTTTGCCTCCATCTGCTGGACGCGGTCATTTGGGACGGTTAACCGGTTCGCCACCGGTAACCTGGGCTAGCTCTCTGCTTCCTCTTCTTGACAAGAGGCCCTCGTCCTAGCTGGCTCCTGCCAGTTAGACCGGGAACGCCGGGTGCGGGCAGACTCGGCCTCCCGCACCTCGCCTAGCCGGGCGAACGCGCTGACATGGGCAACGCTCTACCCCAGCCTTTGCTTGGCTGGCCTTCCTCCCTATCCTCCAGCCTTTCGAAGGCGGAGTTTCGGGAGGTCGCTGGCCGGAAGTTTTTTCCTTTCTTCTTCTTGTGGGCCCTTGGAATGTCCCACTCGCCGTCATCACTCTCAATTGAGACGCAATGACCATCAGGGGTGATTTGCGGATTCGTACCTTGCGGGGGACGCGACGGCCCTGCAGCGTTAAGTGCGCCGGTCAAGTTGACAGGGGCTATGGTGCTGACCAGCTGGGGCTGGAAAGGTGATGGCTGCGGCACCGGCATCTGGAACGACGTCACCGCCATCGGAGCTTGCAGGGGCATGGTTCCCGCGCCTGGAAGAGCGAACGGGAACATACCAGGGAGAAAAGGCATCCCCCCGCTCTGTTGGCACATGGCCATGACCTGACCGAAGCCCTGGATGGCTTGTAGGTTGGCTGGGTCATTCATGAACTGAGTCATGCTTGGTGGGAACGTGACCCTCGGTCCAGCGGAAGGGACGGGGGTCGCGAAGGGACTGATCACGCTGGCCGTCGGGACAGAGCTCAGACCCAGAGGCAACACCGGGGCTGAAATGACCGGTATGATAGCAGCCACAGGGATGCTGGCACCCTCGTTGGTGGCCTGCACCTGAGCGGAAGTAGCGTTGACCTGTTGGCTGGAAGACATTTCGAGTGGTTTTCTTGTGGGTAGGTTTTAGAAGAGAAGAAACCTTAACGGTCCCACGGGTGGCGCCAAAAATGATGGTGTAAATTACTTGACCGGTCAAACTATACTAGACTGGGTCTAGAATAGTTTGCTTGATTTGGCAAAGTAAGAAAGATAAAAACTCGTAGATTGACCGGTAAGACTTTAGGTGGAACACCTGTAGCCCAATTTATATTATGACGGAGAATGCACGGGTGCTTTTACAAGGGAGTTTAGAGGAAGTGAATTCGGATCCCTGTTTCTGAGGTTTATATGAGTATTTATACTAGGTTAGGGGGGACAGGACCACGTGCGCCCACGTGGGGGCACGATGCAGATGTGGTGCGAGGTGACTGGTTTCGTCCTTGAGCTGCCTTGTCGCCTTGTGAGGGGGATTATTCCCTCTGTCGAGTAGTGCCTTGGATGGATTCTTCAGCATCTCCAGTTGTCCTCTACTGACACGGGTCGCTACACGCCAAGCCCTCGTAGATTCTCTTCTGCCGACACTTTCCAACCCTAGAAACTACACCGGGTAATAAATAGGACGACAACGTAGTTTGATCGGTATACTTTTTCATGAAGTTACCGGTCATCTTTTGGCCGATGATATATCGTTTTGCTGACGATTTAAGTCTACCTTCCAAAACTTTCGAGATTGACCGGTCAACTAATTGGTCTTCTTCTTTGACCGGTCGTGGGTGGAATGCACCCATCACATATATTTTCATAAAATCATTTAAAAATATTACTCTATATTGTTAATAATTTAAAAAATTGACAAAAATTTCGTGCAACCCGTGCACATTTCCAAAGGCCCAGAAATATTTAACACATTTCCGAAGGCCCGAGACATTCAAATTCAAATTTCAAATGCTGCTCAATACTGGCTGCCGCCTTCACAAGCTAAAGCAGTGTCTGACCAGTACCAACCTTATCAATGTCCTTCATCTCCGTATGTAAACCAAAATCTCGAACTCTTGATGAAACGAAAATGTCCAGTTTCAAGAAAGCCACGGATGACCTACGCCCCCCGAACCCCATGGTAGCTGCATCCGAGAACAAAGAGAACGAATCGCCCAATAAGCCCAGAAAGTGCGGTCTTGCTACTAAAGAGAGAGCTGTTCGAAACAGCAAGTTGAAAGACGGAGCATTGAAGCCATCTTCACTTCAACTGTGCATTAAGAAGCATGATTCCGATTCGAATTCAGGGAATCTATGGGACCATTCAGATTCCGAGGCGGCTCCGGCTTCTTCTTGGTCTACTCTACCAAACAGGTTAGGATGTCCTAAGTTTTTTGAAATTAGGCTGAAAAGATTCAGTGTGTTTTGAAACTGTACAGATTTGGGTTTCTTTCTTTTCAGGTCATTGATCTGTAGGCCTTTGCCTGTGGATATAGGGAGGTGTACCTGTGTTATTGTGAAGGAATCATCTCCAGATGGGTTCTGTGGAGGCTCTCTCTACTCACTCTACACCTATGTAAGACCATTTGGGACCTCTTTAACCACTTCAAGATTGCACAACTTTCTTGCTTTGTTAGCCTTTGAAGTAATCAGCATTACATATTAGTGGGTTTTAAGTTAAAAAAACAACTGGAAAAAATAGTAGAAGATACCTATATATTGTCCACAAATGTGATGACATTCATTAATAAAATAAGAAAAAAAATTTCATAGGAGGGTCAAGGAAGACAGAATCGGAAGCTTGCGGTAGCTCATCACAGAAGGCGAAACGGGAAATCTGAGTTCAGAGTGGCTCAAAATTTCAAGGGACTATTAATGAGTTCAGAAGAGGGTTTGGTTGGGAATGTAACAGCTAATCTTATGGGATCAAAGTATCACATTTGGGACCAGGTTCATTTCCTTCGCAAGTTATTCAAAAGATCCATTATTTGCTGCTAAACTTTGTCTCCTCCTTTTAATTGAGATCACATTTACAACCATCTCTACCCCAGGGGACACTAAACTCTGGACCCAAACAATCCAAACTATTATCAGCCGTTGTGAGGTAATCCGCTTCCCGTATTGCAAATTTTTTCTTTTTTTGTTTTCAATTCAATTTATTTGAATATTTGTAAAAAAAAACGAAATTTACATATTTAAAAAACTAAATAGAAAGTTCAATAAATCAAGAAATGACCTGACTATTATACTATATATGCCATATGATTAACATGTTAGTAATTCTTAAGCAGTGTCTGTTAAGAGAGCTGGTGAAAATTGGAACTTTTAAAAGTTTAAATCTGATGTGAACAGATTTTCTTGTACTGTGGCCACATGGATTGGGAGTTATAGGAGGATCAAAGCATGGTTGCCAAAGCACCAATCCATGCAGTTGAAGAGCAGCACAACACAGGTGAGACAATGATGGGTTACATTTAATTTTTTAATTGTGTTTTATTTTACCACTAATAATTCCAACCTTGGACTTCCATCTCTTTTAACTTCAGATCCAACACATTAATGGATTGCCAATAGATTGGCAGGAGCATATGGGTAATAGTGTGCACCTGCAGCTGCTCTCAAGGGTTCCCCACTTCAACAAGGTACTGAATAGGACTGACTACATTTGTTTTTTGCATCCCATATCATCTTGCTGACCTTGTAAATGTTGTAGATTTGGAAACAGTATGAATTAGACTATAGAGATGGAGGAATACCTGGTCTCAGTGTCAAGAGCTCAGTGAAAAACTTTCAACTGATGTTGGAGGTATATAAATTTGACTTCTTTATTCATCTTTAGCTTCCTTGAAAATCTTTTCAATTTTATTCATTATTATTATTTTTGTTTTGTTTCAGAACAATGGAAGGCAGACAATACTACAACTAGGGAGGGTAGGGAAATCAAAGTATGTGATGGACTATAGGTAAGTAAGAAGTGGCGGCTTATAATACCTTTAGAGGTCTTCTCTAAGACACAACAAGAAGACACAATGAGTTGCTATGTGCTTCGTACTGTATTTTTTTATCCATTTTCTATAGATATACTGTTAGAGAAAGAAGAAGGATTGAAGAAGGAAAGTGTTAGAAATAGAAAAGGAAGCAGGATTGAAGGAGACCGAATCCCTTTGGGATTAGGTTTAGTATCTTTCCTAGTTGGATTAGGTTTAGTATTTAGTATCTTTCCTAGTTTGTTTAATTCTTATTTTAGTAGGAATAGAAATTTCCTTGTTTACTTTACCCTCTTCCTATATAAAGAGGGTTATATCTTCGTATTCAGGATTAGTTTCACAAGCCAATTCAATATACGGAAATATTTTCTCTTATTTTTTCCATCATCTCCGATGGAGCCAAAATTTCACCATTTTTTGGCTTTGGGGTGTGATGGAATAAATCAAAATGGATCTCTAAACTGTCTGCGCTTATTTAATTAATGAAGTAGCAGAATGCAACTTTCGACGTTGAGCCGGGGGTCTCTTTGGAAACAGCCTCTCTACTTTCAAGTAGGGGCAAGGTCTGCGTACACACACCCTCCCCAAACCCTACTCTTGTGGGATTTAACTGGGTTGTTGTTGTTGTTATTTTCTCTCTTATTTTCTACATATACCAACCAAAATGGATAAAAGCATGCTTTTGTTTTAATGGAATAAGAAGTCATTCACTGGTTTTGCAGGTATCCACTAACTGGCTACCAAGCATTTTGCATTTCCTTGGCTTCCATTGACTCAAAGCTTTGCTGCATGGTGTAATCTAAAGTTCCACCTCGGACCTTATACCTTAACTTTTTGTTTAACTTCGTTTGAGTCTTTAGCAGAGTCCTCATGCCAATTATATGGGGAATTAGGTTATTAGGGGGAAACTTATAAGTAGCAGATAAGTAGTTTGAAGTATTTCTTTAAATTGGCTTATAAGAAGTTGAGAGTTGTAGAAAGTTGTAAAATGATATTGTACTCTACTGGCCCTAAAAAATCCACTATTCACCTCTCTCACATCCTGTGTGTGTACAACAACAACAACCCAGTTAAATCCCACAAGAGTAGGGTCTGGGGAGGGTGTGTGTACGGAGACCTTGCCCCTACTTGAAAGTAGAGAGGCTGTTTCCAAAGAGACCCCCGGCTCAACGTCGAAAGTTGCATTGATTGACTAACTGCTACTTCATTGATTTACTTCCTCCGTCTAAAATTAAAGTTCCCACTTTCCTTTTCGGTCCGTCCACAAATAACGTTCCCATTTCCTTTTTTAGTAAGTTTTACAGGGTTAAAAGATAAAACTACCCTCCTCTATTACATTTCTTTTTCTTTTTCCTTTTTTCTTCCTTCCCGCCTCGTCAGCCACCCTCCCCACTCTTCCTCTTTCTTTCTTTTTCTTTCTTTTCTTCCTCTCAATTCCGTCTTCTTGTTTTCTTCTTCTTCTTCTTCTTCTTCTTCTTTGTCCTTCCATCTTCTTCTTCTTATTTCTTCTTCATTTTTTTCTTGTTTTTCTTCCTTCTTCTTTCATCAATTAAAAGAAGAATTTTTTTTTCAGATCTGGTTGCATCTTCGTCGGATCTAGATTTGGAGGAACAATTTTTTTTATTTTTTTCCAGATCTATGGTGGGATGTTGATTTTCTTCCCTAAAGAGAAGTCTAAAAATAGATCTTTGAAGGCGGGGGCTTGTGACGGCGAGAGAAGCAAGTTGTGACGGTGAGAGGGATGCTAGGGGCTGCGACGGCTGGGCGTTGCGATGCCCGGAGCTTTCGACGGCGGGGATGCGAAAGCATCATCGACGGCGGTGCAGAAACGGCGGAGGCAGCGGTGCAGAAGCGGCGGTGGCAACAGCGATGCAGAAGTGTCAACGTCAGTGGTGTACAGGGGTAGACGGCTCCAATGGGGTGTACAGGGGTAGCTATATATGTGTGTGTGTGTGTCTATATATACACACACACACACACACACACACACACACACACACACATTTAAAATACTTTCATTTAAATGCAAAAGTTTTATCAATTATAATAGGAAAGTCAAATCAATTTTCATTCCACAAAAATTTGCGCACTGAGTCAAACCGTAAAGTTTAATATTGGACGGAGGGAGTAGTATTAATTTATAATATAAAAAGTGTTTCTAAATTATAAAAAATTTGTTTTTAAATGAAAGTATTTTCATAAATGAAATATAAATTTTAAAAAGAATTCTTTTCATCCTATTTATTAGTAGGAAATTTTGAGCCATTATTTTTCTTTATTTAAAAAATGTCTATGATTTCAAAAGGCTTCACACGCACCACATCGGTTCAAACTATTTTCTGTTCATTTTTTCATTAAAAGGGGGCATTGATACACATTCCAATCCACATGAGCTGATGAGCATCGGTGCATATTATTATTTGTTTAGATTTTTCATATATAATTATTCTTCATAATGTTTTAAAATTTAAATTGGTTTGTATTTGAAATAAAAAATGGAAATTAAAAAAAACATGTACTTTCTCCATCTAAAGCTAAACATTTTTGTTTTTAAAAATTTAGATGAAAAGTATTATTGTTTATTCGCTGTATATGCATTTGCATGTAAAAAATCATTAATTTTGTTTAATAATAATAATACATAGAGGTTCTACATCCACTCACTTTAAGTGATTTCAGATGACACTAGCTTCAATTAAAGTATCTACAGTGCACCGTTCACAAAATTAATGGCTCCTGCCCTCGACACCCCAAATCAAGTGGCTCTAGAATCGTTTTGACAATAGTAATTGTAATAATAATAATAATAATAATAATAATAATACAAAAAATGCATGCAAATAATTTTTGAATCCCCATTGAAAAGAATCAGAAGAAGTTAGATGAAACTAAAGGAATGTAAAGAATTCTGAAAATGTTGGAAGAGGTTGGAAGAATTAACTTGAAAGAAATTACAAAGAGTTGGAAGAAGCTAAAAGAAGTTTAAAGGTAACAAAAAATTGGAAAATATTGGAAGTTAAGGGTGCATTTAGTTATGGGAAAATATGTGTCTAGATAATTATTCTAGGAGAAGATAATTTTCACAAAAAATCACTCTCTCCAACATATTTTATTGAAACTATGTTGATTTTTGAATAAAAACAAAGATATTTTGAGATAATTTTAAAATATTTTAAAGGAACATAATTTATTTTTTATACGCGATCAATTTTGAATCTTTTTATAGTGCTCCATTCCCAGAGGGTGGCGAGGGGCGGGAGTGGCGCGGGGGGAGGCGATGGGGGTGTGAGAGAAGGGATGAACTTGATCGAGGAATTAGAGTATTTGAGGATTGAGTAAAAAATAAACTTTGATTCATAACAAACAAAAGTCATTTTCATCTCTTTGAGAAAATATTATTCCAAAGAAATGATTTCCTACCACTTATGTAACATATCATTGAAAAGTAGAACTAGAATTTTTTAAAAAAGTGTTTTTCTTTCAACCAAATAGATCCTAAGAATTGCAGACTAGAATCTGAAAGAACATAATCTTAAAAATTTGAATAAAATTTTTAAAATGAACAATAATTTCATTCCGCCTCGTGCGAGGCACGGGTTAAAAAAACTAGTATATATATATATGTAAAAGAGAGTTTAATAGTTGTAGTGTTGACACGTGTCATACGTGACATAGAATTAAACGCAACGTGTACATACCTCAAATATTAAACGCCAACGTGTACATACACCAAGCATTGATGTTCGTTCTTCGCAATCCTCGCTTCAATGGTAACCGGTACTGATGCCCAACCGTCATCTTACCCCAACGAACATCAAAACGCCAAAACGAACATCAACCGGTACAACGCCAAAACAAACATCTAAAATCATTACAAAAAATGAATCTCTTCAACCACCAACATCAAATTAAAATCCCCAAAATACAATAATATCACTCTTCACATTTCACAAAACTAGTATGTATATATAAATAACCTGTTATGGAAATAAACTGTCTGCACTACTATATGTGTTAATCATGCAAGTACTTGAACCAAGCGCTTTTCCTTCTGTGGTACTCTTGTGAATGATGTTGCTTCTTCAGCTGTTATTGTATTTCTTTTACCTGGAGTATATTTTTTTCATGTCGGTGGTAGAGGATTCAACACTATTCTCAACAGGTTATACTGAACAAGTAATTGGAGAATTTAATCTTGGGTTTATTATTGGCAAGCTAGATCAAGACCTTTTTATTGTGTTACCATACTTGTATAGGTTTCCTAATATGGCTCTCCTACTATGATTAGGATTAAAGCCTCTAGTATATATTGATGTAATCTCTACACATTTATTCAATGAAAATATTCTTTCTACATGGTATCGGAGTCTAAAAACCCTAAACCCTTATCTCCCCATCTCTCTCTCTCGTTCGGCTAGCTCTGCCTCCCCAGCGGCAGCCCTCTCTCCCGGCGACGATACTCCTCTCCCGACGGCTCTCTCTCCTCCTCTCTCACCATGGCTGAAAATAGTGAAGTTACCTCCCAAAATACGTCCCCCAAACCCCCTCATCTTGCTCTCACCACTATCTCCAATGTAAAGTTGCATGTTCTCGTTCAACTAAGCCTCTCTCAACCAAACTACAAAACATGGAGTCGTCTGTTTCTCCTTCTAGTTCGACGATTTAATCTCCAAGGCTACCTCGATGGATCTGTTGTCCCCCTCTCTGAAGATGACGACGAATGGATTCTCTCCACCATCACCGATGAAGTCTCTGATCTGGTCATCTCTTCTCTCACCACTGCTTCAGCTCTCTGGAAGGTCATCCATGACCTATTTCACGACAATAAACACACCCGGGCCATGCAGTTAGAACATGAATTTCGCACCACCATCAAAGGCTCTACCTCCATGGAGGCCTATTGTCAGGAACTCCAAAATCTTGCCAACTGGTTGGACGTCGACGCACCGGTCTCTCAACACCAACTGGTCCTCCAGATGCTCCGAGGGCTTCCCGCAGATCTTCAGGCTTAAACCTCGTTCATGCCGTTTCAGGATCTTATGCCGAATTTTCTTCAAGTTTGATCGGCTCTCATGCTTTTGGATCGCCAACGGTACAATCCCATTGACCCCGGCAGCACAGCCCTGCTCACCACCCGAGCCGGCGGTCAAGCCCACGGCGGGAAACACGGCGGCAGCGGCTATGGCGGATAGCACGGCGGCAGCAGCTACGGTGATGGCAACCCGGGACAGTGCGGAGGCTTTGGACGAGGGAAAGGACGTGGCGGCGGAAATCGAGGTCGTGGACGTGGGCGTCAAAACGGCTCTAGGAACTGACAAACCATGACGGCAATATCTGTAACGCCCCAAAATATACCCTAAAATTTATTGAATTAAATATTCAATTAAACAAAATTTGTTTTGATTAAAATAAATTGTTGTTGGGCTTTGGGCTTGAATAAAATATATATTGATATCCAATAAACATAATTGGGATAAATCTCATAGAGATAAATCCAACATGTTGATTTATTGTGTGATCTTGATTGGGAACCTAAGTACAGACCCAAATTAAGAATAAATGAAGAAATTGTTTTTAATGTGAACTTTGAAATGATTTATTGAAATAAATCATGGAAATAAATAATATGAATTAAATGTAAGAACCTTTTTGAAAAAAGGCTAATTAAACTCATTTTGACTCTGTCAAAGTCAACCACCCAAAAATATGATGTCGGAAAAAACATAACGAATAAATATAAAAACTATATCGTTGGATAGAGTTTAATTGCACGATCGCAACGGTGCAAACGGATTTCAATTCGGAGAAAGTTGTACCAAAAAGTGTACCCCGACTGGAACCAAAATTAGTCCCAATCAGGAACGGCGCCTCCTACTCCACTCAGCCGATCGAGGATGCATTCCTACGCAAATCCTACGCAGCAAATGTTGTCACCTTCCCCATTCTCTTCCTATATAAGGCCACCATCAACCCTCTCATTCCTCACCAAAAACTAATGAGTTTAGTACCAAAGTATTCTTGAGAGTGAGGAGAACATGCTGCAGTAGTTGGTGGCCACCGAAGTCGCCAGAGTTGGGAGTTATCATCGCCGGAAGTTTCGCTGGAAAATTCTCAAAACCTTCGATAAGCTTCGAGGTAAGCCCGTAGATATATCTAGTGACTAGAATGTTCGTATAGATCGTTTCTACGTTCATAAATGGTCGTTTGGTTGAGTTTTGTGTTTGACATATGTGAAGAACCAAGAATCATAAACCTTGAATTTGTTGTTAAAACTTCGAATTGATGCCTCTAAAATGATCTACGAACCTTGGAGAACATTTCTATATAGTTTAATTGAAGTTTGGTGACCAAAAATGGAACTTGAGAAAAATGGGTTTGAGGTTGAAGATGATGAATAGTAACCTCTTCATCTTCCTGCACTTTCCAACGGAACGGACGACCGTTCAAACCCAACGGTCGACCGTTACGAACATTTTTAAGTCCAAAAATGCTATTTTTGAAGCTATAAAAGCCTAATTTTTTT